GATCTTAGTTTCCAAACCAGGAATTGAACCCAGGTCTCAGCAGTGAAAGTGCCAAGTCCTAACCATTGGACCACCAAGGAATTCTCTAACGTTCTTTTTTTTTTTTTTTTTTTGCGGTACGTGGGCCTCTCACTGCTGTGGCCTCTCCCTTTGCGGAGCACAGGCTCCGGACGCGCAGGCTCAGCGGCCATGGCTCACGGGCCCAGCCGCTCCGCGGCACGTGGGATCTTCCCAGACCGGGGCACGAACCCGTGTGCCCTGCATCGGCAGATGGACTCTCAACCACTGCGCCACCAGGGAAGCCCTAACGTTCATTTTTGATTATGCTTTGTCTTTGTGTCTAAATTGTAATTAGGTTTCTGTTTGTTTGAATTCACCTAAAAACTCGTGGTCATTCTAAAAAAAAAAAAACACTCGTGGTCAGTGTGGTCCACCCAGGAGAAAAGTTTGAAAAACAGTGTCTTGGACAGGAACTCTCATTCACTGCTGGTGGGAATGCAAAAATGGTACAGCGCCTTTGGCGGTGTCTCACAAAATTCAGTGTACTCTTACCGTATGATCCAGCAACCGTGCTCCTTGGTATTTCCTCCAAGGAGTTGAGAACTTAGCTCCACACCAAAAATGTGCACCGCTTTATTCACAATTGCCCAAACTTGGAAGCAGCCAAGATGTCCTTCAGTAGGTGAATAGATGAATAAACTGTGGTCCATCCAGATGATGGAATATTACTGAGAAATATTTTTAAATGAGCTATCAAGGGCTTCCCTGGTGGCGCAGTGGTTGAGAGTCCGCCTGCCGATGCAGGGGACACGGGTTCGTGCCCCAGTCCGGGAAGATCCCACATGCCGCTGAGCGGCTGGGCCCGTGAGCCGTGGCCGCTGAGCCTGCGCGTCCGGAGCCTGTGCTCCGCAACGGGAGAGGCCACAACAGTGAGAGGCCCGCGTACCGGAAAAAAAACAAAAACAAAAAATAAATAAAATGAGCTATCAAGCTCATTTGGAGGAAACTTAAAAAGTGAAGTGAAAAAAGAAGCCAATGAGAAAAGGCTCCACATTGTAGGAATCAAACACTATGACATTCTGAAAAAGGCAAAACTATGGAGACAGTAAAAGTTCAGTGGTTGCCAGCAGTTGGGAGGAAGGATGAACAGGCAGAGCACAGAGGATTTTTAGGGCAGGAAAATACTCTTTAGGATCCTGTAATGGTGGATTCATGTCCTTATACATCTGTCCAGACCCATACAATATCCAACATGGAGAGTGAACTCATATAAAATATAGACTTTCGTTAATATTTAAATAACGTATAAAAACTTTTTTGTTTTTTTTGTTTGTTTGTTTTTTTGGCGGTACGCGGGCCTCTCACTGTTGTGGCCTCTCCCGTTGCGGAGCACAGGCTCCGGATGCCCAGGCTCAGCGGCCATGGCTCACGGGCCCAGCCGCTCCGCGGCATGTGGGATCTTCCCGGACCGGGGCACGAACCCGTGTCCCCTGCATCGGCAGGCGGACTCTCAACCATTGCACCACCAGGGAAGCCCTATAAAAACTTTAAAAAAAAAAAAAAAAAAAGAAACAGTGCTCTTGAGACAGCATCGGGGGAGGGCAGCTAGAGCCATTGGGCCAGCAGCATGGGCTGTGTCCCGACTGGGTACTTGGCCAGTGAGTGACCCTGGGCCAGTGGCTTTGCTGTCCTCACCTGTAACGTGGAAAGCTAATGCCTCATGGACAGAACTGTCCTGGTGTCCACAGGGCCTGGCTGAGAGTGGAAATCAGGGCAGGGTAGCCTGAACTACAACTTATGTCCAAAAGAAGGGGCTCTCCCCTTCTCTGGGAAGGCTTCCTCAGCTCTGAGAATGGCCCACATTCACACTAACATGGAACCAGGAACCTCAGAGTTCTCCCCCGCTTCCCCGCTTTCCACTCCCCCCCATGCCCCACCCCGACCAGTCCATCAGCAAGTCCCATCAGCTCTCCCTCCCAATATATCTCCCAGCTCCCCCCACCCCACCTCCCACTCCGGCCCCTCTGGTCCACTATTCTGTGAGCACTCCGGACCTCAGGGCCTTTGCACTGGCTGCTCCCTCTGCTGAAACTATCTTCTCCCAGTTAATCCTCAAGACTTGCACCCCTCACCTCCGCCAAGCTCAGATGCACTTGCTGGGGGGTGCGAGGGGGGCTTCCTGGCATGGCCTGCTTTAAACAATAGCCCCCTGGCCCCGGGTTATGTCACCTCTCCCCACAGAGGCAGCTCCTGCTAGCAGGGAATTGTGTCTGTTTCATGCATCGCTGTGTCTCTGGTGCCTAGAGCAGCGTCCGGTGTGCTGGAGGCACTGGGAACGTTTGCCCACCTGGTACCTCTGCTTGGGTGGCCGGCCACAGTAGCCCCTACCTGGCCCCTCCTTTGTTCTCCTCCCGGCAGCCTTAGGATGCTTTCTTAAATTGCCTCAGCTTCTGTCACCCCGCTTCAGTCTCCCCAAGGGCTCCCTACTGCCTGCAGACAAGGTCCAGCGATTGATGCCAGCCCATCAGAATCAGGAAGGTTCAGGAGAGCAGTGGGAGACCAGGGCGTGGAGAGGCCCTGCAGGCAGACCCTCAAAGGCACTCCTACAGTGAATAGTGTTTAAACCATGTGCCAGCCCAACACGCACCAGCAGGCCAGGCCAGGGCCATGGGAGACCCCCGAGTGGCCCCCTCGGCCCTACTCTCCAGCTTCATCAGGACCCTCTGGCTCCAATACACTCACCCTATGGGTGACACCCCATCCCACGGCTTCCCCAAACACCCAGCTAAAGCGCCCTGCCCACCACTGCCCAGGGCAGTCCCTGCTCAGCCTCTGCCCCTTTATCATCCCATCATTGGTTCATGGTTAGCGGCCCTACATTTTGTCTTCCCGGCCTGGTCCGTAAGAAGTTGCCCAGGTCACACTGTGACTCAAAATCCGGTGCTTTTTCCCTATGGAGGGCAACCTCTGGGTCTCTGCTGCGAGCTCCTGCCTGGGGGAGAAACTGGCCCCAGAAACGACGTTAGTGTCCCCTTCCCGTCCCTACACGGCCCTGGTGCTTTTGAGAAAGCCACCCTGAGTGACACCCGGAAGCTGGGTAGCAAGGAGTGCATCCCCAGGTCCGCGCTGGGGGCTAGGGGTGTAAGAAGCAGGGCGGGGGCAGGGGGTCGGGGGCGGGTAGGATGCCCGGTCGCATTGAGTTTGGGGTGGGGACGTGCCCGCCCCCAGCCAGACTCTGTCCTCAGTGTGAACGGTCATTCCAGCAGGGTGCGCTGCCCGCGGACTCCCAGCTCGCGCCATCTTCCTCCCTCCCGCTCAGCCAGGCTGAGCTCCCACCTGGTCACACAGGCAGGCCTGGGGGAGGCCCCCACCCCAGAGGAGGGGTGCAGAGCCGAAGTCAGATCTCGGCAGGTCTAATTCCCAGGATGTGCTCGGGCTGAGCTGAAGGCGGCAGGGCCCCTACTCTCATTTCCCGGGGGAGGTATTTCTCAGCGTGCAGCCCCAGCTGGGCCTCGGGCCGGTCCCACTTCCCTCCTCCCCACCCTTTCAGGCAGCTGCGGGGGAGGGTAAGTGAATCGCATGTCCAAACGCATCTCCAAAATCGAGGCTTCAGCCGAGCCTTTGACCCTGATCCGTGGGGGACATCAGTGTCGCAAACAGCCCCAAAACGGTTAACTTAAAAAAATACACCACCACTGCTCCGCTTCCCCAGGCCCAAGGCACCAGCAAAAATACTGCTAGCCGTCCGTTTTTGCTATTTTACACCACCCTTTCCATTGTAAGCCATAATTTTCAGAGGTTTATAGGTCAGCTATAAAAAAAAAAAATAAACCTCTCCTTTTGACTAAAAGGGAGCACTTGGAAACTAGAAGGCTGGTGGGTGCCCGGGTGGATCCGGCCTCGAGTTTTTCCACCGAAGCTGCGCTGCATCTCATCCCTCCCCACCCCCACCTGCCCCTGGGCCCTTCCTCTTGGCCTCCCCCTCTCCCTTCTTCCCCGCAGGCCTGCAGGCTGCCCCTCCCCCACCGTGGGCGAGAGAAGAGGCCAGAACACATCTGCGGTCCTGCGGCCCCACCCTGGGGGACACCGGAGCCCACGAAGCGGAGGACTTTGGAGCCGTTGGGGTCCACCTTGGGCGGGGCCTTAAGAATTTAGGCTCAGGTTCGCCCTCTCCGGGCCTGCGACCGGCCCAGTCCCCGCAGGTGCCCACCTGAGTCCCATTGGGGCTCGGCCCAGGGCAGCTGGGGTGGTCTCCTTGGAGCCGGGGAAACAGTGAGCCCTGGTCTCCGTGTACAGCCCTGCACGTACGTGTGTGTGTGTGTGTGTGTGTGTGTGTGTGTGTGTGTGTGTGTGTGTGTGTGTGTGTGTGTGTGTGTGTGTGTGTGTATGTGATAAATGCAGAGCGAGGGCGGGGCCGCTCATCCCTAAATTAGGGCCCTGGAGCAGGTGGGCGTGGGCCAGCCCTGCCAGGAGAAAGCCCCCCTCCCTCCCTTTAGGGCTGCCCCCTGAGTTCTAACTCCCTAACATTTGGGGGTGCCAGAGGGGAAAGCTGGAGGCAGTACAAGCACACACGGAGCTGAGTTGCAGCATTATTCGGCCTCTTTATTTAGAACCCGGCGGACGAGGAGCCGGGGCAGTGGTGCAGACGGCTCAGGAACCTTTTTTTTTTTCTTTTTTTTTTCTTTTTTTTTTTCTTTTAACAGATTTGTCTTCAAGTTTAAAATAATCATAATAGTAAAAAGAGACAGCGAAAGCGCGAAGAGACTGCAAGCTAGATGGGCTTGTACGGCAGCTACAGCTTGTGAGCGACCCCTCCCCCCAGAGTCCGCTATAAAAAATAAATTTACATTTGTCGATAACCAGATGCGAGTGAGGTGCCTTTGGCATAACCAATAACCGAGCTAGCGCGTGGCAGAGCGGCCCACGCCTCGACATAAATAGAAAATATAAGTTAGTATAACTTTAAAAACTTTTTGTACAAATATACATGTTTTTTTCCTTTTTTCCTTTTTTTTTTCTTTTTTCATTTTTTTGCACTGAGTTTCAGCAGAGATTAAACATTTTATATAAATGACTCTTAAAGCTTTACACCTTGGGACCAGTGTACTCCTCGTGCAGAATACATTTAGATATAAAAGACGTTATTAATACATTGCACAGTTTTCAAACTTTAAACACAAAACCGAACGCTGCTCCGTGGCAGCTGCCGCCGGTTGCTGCTACATGGACGGTCCCAGCCGAGGCCCAGCGCTCCTCTCCTGTCCGCTGCCCAGCGGGCTCCCTCGGGGCTCGTTGGGCGCGAGGCTGCGGGAGAGAGGTGCGGTGAGCGAGCGGCGACAGAGTGGCCGCCGGGACCCCGCGGGACGCCCCTCCCCGCCCGCCCCGTCTGCCGCGCTCACCTCTCATCGCAGCCGCTTGCGCGGGGTTTGCTCAGCCGAGCCGACGGCTGGAGCGGCGCCGGGCGCGGCGCATCCCGCGGGAACCTCGTTCGACGCCTTGGCTTCGGGCGCGGGTCTCTTGCGCTTGGCGAAGAAATCTGCGGGCGACAGCGCGCGCGGCCGGTCAGGGCGGGGCCGGCCGGGGAGCCCAAGAGGGTGCCGGGAGGAGGCGCGGGCGGCTGGGCGGCCGGTGGGGGGGCGCCGTCCCCGCCCGCGCCGAGGTCCGCGGCGGGTCAGCTTTGTTTACGTCGCCGCGCAATGTGCTGTGTAAGCATTTCCCCTTGTCCCGCGGCCAAGCCCCCCGGGGCTACCGCCGCGCTTAACCCCCTCTGTGCCGCGATCGCCGCGCCCGGCCGCGCCCGAGGAGGGTCTCCATTGGCCCGGGCGAGGATCGCGCTCGGAGGGGGCCAGAGCGCGCCCTCCCAACCCTCCCGCCCGAACCTCTCCGGAGCACAACAACAGGGCGGGGACGGGGTGCGGGCGCTGCCTCGCCCCGCGCGCTGCGGGCCCTTTAACGCCACGGAGGAGGCGGGGACCAAGAGAGGCCCCCGAGGGCCTGGGAGCCCGGCCGGCCGGACAAAGCAGGGCCGGGCCGGGCCGGGCCGGGGCGGGGCCGCGCGGGACTCACCGGAGATGAGAGGCCCGGACAGCTTCTTGATCGCGGCGCCTCCGGCGGCGGCAGTGGTGGCAGCGGCGGCGGCAGTGGCGGCGGCGGCGTTGGTATTGGTGGCAGTGGCGGCAGTGCCCGGCGCGGGGCGCCCCGAAATCCCTGAGTGCGGCGGCTCGGCCAGGGGCTCCTGGCTGCGCGGCGGCGGGACCGCCTCCGGCTCAGAGCTCTCCTGCGGCGCCGGGGCCGGGGCCGGGGCAGGCGCTACGGACGGGCCGCTGGACGGCGACGCCGGCGCCTCCCCGAGGCCGTCGAGGGACTCATCGGCCGGCGGCCCGGAGGGCGGGCTATCGCCCGCGCCGTCCGGGCGGGGACGAGGCGCCAGGAGCAGGCGACAGCGCCCCACCTGCACCGTCTCGCGGTAGAAGGCGGGCACGGAGTCGCTGTCCACCTCGGTCCACTGCAGGCGCCCGGGGCCCCGCAGTGGCACGTCCTGCTGGAAGTTGTAGTCCCAGCGACGCTGGTCCTCGGCGCTCAGCTCGGCTAGGCGCATCTGCAGCTCGCGGCTGAGCTCCTCGTGGTCCACGGGCCCGAAGAGGCTGCGGCAAGCGCTGGTGCGCGCGAACAGGGGAAAGGTGCGGCGGGCGACCAGGCGCTCCATTGCCGACGCGCTGCGGAGATACGCATCGGACTTTTCCGGGGGCTGCGCGGGCCGGGCGGCGGGAGAGGAGAGGAGAGGAGGAGGAGGAGGAAGAGAGGAAAGGAGGGCGGAGGCCGGGCGCAAGTGAGACCCCGCGCGCCGGAGTCTGCATTTGCAAAGGGACGCGCTGGGAGGGCGGCGCGGCGGCTACCTGGCTGTCGGGCCGTGGACTGCTCCTGAGTCTCGCTCGCTGTGTCGTCCGGCCGGCGGCCGCGCCCCCTCGGGTGCCTGTCCTCGCTCGCTCGGCTAGCCCTGGCCTGGCTGGCACCCACCGAGCGCAGAGCACTTGGCCTGTGGAACGCCCAGTCCTCGCGCGCCCCTTTATACGCGAGGGTCCCACCCCCCCGCGCACGGGCCCCGCTGCTATTAGCATAATGTAGTATTTTCAGTTTCAACAACACCGCGGCGATTGGCCGGCGCCGCGCTGCCCCCGCCCCTCCGGCGGTCCGGCCCCCGCCCGCCGCCCATTGGCCCTGCGCACACACCCACCCGAGGGCGGGGCGGGGCGCGAGGGCCGATTGGCGGGGCGCGGGGCGCGCGCAGCGGCGGGGGAGGGGGCGGTGCGCGGGGCGGGGCCGGAGTTAAAGGGCGCTGCGGGCGGTAACGTGACACCGCGGCGCCCCGCCCCCTCGCCCCATCCCCCCCACCCACCCCCACCCCCACCCCCGCCCCCGCTCCCGCCCCCCGCCGGCTCCTTTGTCTGCAGGCGGGGGCTGCTCGGCGGCGGTGGCGCGGGCGCCCCCCCCCCCACCTCTGCTGGCGCGCCCTACCGGGCGCGGCGGGCGAGGACCCCCGGCAAGACCGGCGTTCGGCCTGGCCCGACTCGCCCCCCGGGGGCACCCAGCCCCGCCGCCCGCGCTCGCCCTTGGGCCTCCCGCGCCAGTTGACGGGCCTTTAACCCGCCGCGGCCAGCTCGTCCGTGGCTGGAGCTAGATAGGGTCTTCGGCTGCCCCCGCGCGGCCTGCTGCGCCCGAGGCTTGTGTGCCTGGCAGGGTTCCGCGCACCTGGAGCGCTAACACACCTGCTAGACATAAGGCCCACGAGTGAGCGGGGAGAGGGGTTTGGGGGGCCGGGGGAGGGAGGCTCTGCTCCACTCTTTCTCCAAGGGCGAAGTGGCAGACACCTTGAGAGCTGGCCCACAATCGCCTGGAGCCAGGGTCTGGAGACTCTAGCTCTTGGGGCCGTCCGTCCTGCCCAGTGGATGGGAAACTGGCCGTGCCCATCCTGAGCTATGCACCCTGTGACATCCTGAGCTACGTCACTGACTGGGTGCTCGGCCACTTCAGGCTTGGCCAGGCGGGGGGTTGGCTAGCTGGCTATTGGACAGGGTGCTGGAGGCTTCTCCACTAGGGTGGGGCTGGCCCTGCCCAGCCTGGGACCCTGACTGTGCATGCTGATCCTCTGGGCCAGGCTTATCCCTTGTCACACAGGGAACCGCCAGATGGGGTGGGGGCGGGGGGGGGCAGCAGAGGGCAGCCACGAGGGCGCCCAGGCAGCCCTGGTCCAGCTGCTTATAGGAGCTGCACTTCTCTGCCTCCATCCTGGAAGGCTAGCACCCCCTCATTTGTGCCCAGGAAACGTGTTGGTTGGGAAAGTACACACCTAAGAATGAATGACAGGGCATGCGAGCCAGTGGGCCCTACCACAGTGTCAGGGAGAGAAGAAGCCAGCCCAGAAAGGGAAGGACCTGCCCGGCAAGGCCTATGACCCTGCTCCCCCGCTTCTTGGTGTGGCCCCTGGCTCTCCCCAGTGGCCATCCCATCGGGGCCAGGCCACAGGAGACTGGAACTTTCTGCAGCTATCTCCTTGGCCCAGCCTGTCCCAGGGCTGGGGGCCTAGGAAATGCCTCCAGCAGCTCAGGTGGGGAGGGGGACGGCCAAGCTCCTGCTAGAGGGCCCAGCAGGGCCCTGAGCTCCCAGCCCCTGTCCTGGGTGAGCCCACGAGCCCAGTGAGAAAGGTGAGCTGGGGCCGACCCAACCCAACCTGCCTGCCTCCCCCGCAGGGTCAGGTGGGTTCCAGGTCCCTTCAGGGACGGGACTCCTTGCTAACATGCAGATGTGTCCTGGAGGAGGCTTGTGGAGGCAAGGTTTGGGATGAAGGCCAGCAGGAGAAGCCATCAGCCCAGCTAAGGGACAGGGCACGTTGCCACTCTTGGCTCTTGACAGCAGGACCAAAGTTGATGCAAAGTTAATGATTCGTGTTGTATTTCTTTACTCTTTTTTGTGCATTCTATTCCAAGTTTTCCACAAGTACAGTTGGTACAAATTTTTTTAATTAATTAATTTATTTTTGGCTGCGTTGGGTCTTCGTTTCTGCGCAGGCTTTTCTCTAGTTGCGGTGAGCGGGGGCTATTCTTCGTTGCGGCGCGCCGTCTTCTCGTTGCGGTGGCTTCTCTTGTTGCGGAGCACGGGCTCTAGGCGCACGGGCTTCAGTAGTTGTAGCGCGCAGGCTCAGTAGCTGTGGCTCGCGGGCTCTAGAGCACAGGCTCAGAAGTTGTGGCGCATGGGCTTTGTTGCGCCGCGGCATGTGGGATCTTCCCGGACCAGGGCTCGAACCGGTGTCCCCTGCACTGGCAGGCGGATTCTAAACCACTGTGCCACCAGGGAAGTCCAGTACAACTTTTTATCTTCGGGAAAATAAGATGACAGAGGCTCCCCTGGCCCTGTGGACCCCCTGGGTGGGGCTGATATCACCTGGCCTGGAGTTAGGAGGCAGGGCCTTGCCCCACCCTAGTGCCACGGCCACACCAGTCTCCCCAGAGGCCATATGCACAGGGCCACAGTGGGTAGTGACCACCAAACGTGGAACCACATGGCCCCCAGGATTTCCCAAGAGGTCAGGATGCCCTGACTTCAGCCATCTGGGAGGGCAGGCCGGGGAAGGAGCCAACCCCCAGCCCAGGCTCAGCCTCCAGGCCATCTCCCTTCCGACAAGACTGAAGCCACCGCACTCCCAGCCCTGCTCTGGGCACCCAGGGGAGCCAGCACTCTCATCCCTGGCAAGGACTGCCCCATGGTATGAACACCTGTGTGCCCTGGCCCCCCCAAGGGCAGGGGACCTAGTGCACGCTTCATAACTCACGGGAGCTGACCCTGCACCAGGCCTCTTGCGACCCTGCCCTGCGCGTGCACGGTCTGGCCTGAGGACAGGCCTGGCAGGGCCATCCCGACTGCCTTGGGTGCACACGAGACACCTCCATGGGTGCCAGCTGAGTTCAGGCAGATGGGTCCCAGGGCCCCCACAGCGACAAGCCCAACAGCATGTGACTTGGAGTCCCGTCTCCAAGGACTGGAAGTGGGCGTCCCATATATGTTGGGTCACATAGCGTGGCAGCTGTGGAGCCCTCAGCCAGCCGAGCCCTGCACAGGATGGTTTCCGTAGATCCCTTGCTGGGCCTCACCTGTTTTACGGGGGAGGGAACGGAGAGCTGGAGGCTTGGAGGCACAGAGGCTGGGTCAGCTGCCAGGGCCACCCCCAGCTGCCTGCTGTCCTAGTTATATTTCTCCAGGGGCCATGGGGACACCTCCTCGCTCAGTCACCTCATTAGGGCAGGGAGGTGACCTTCTGAGTCTGTGACCTTGAATTCGATCCAGGATGGTACCCACTGGCTTACTGAACCTGCTGTTCCCAGTAGTAGGCTGGGTCCCTCCCTGTGCCAGGGACGGACGGTGGGGAGGGCTGGGAGCCGCCAGCACTGAGAAGAGGCCCAGCCCTCCGCCCCAAGGGGCTCTGGACAAGCAAATATGTGTCTAGGTACAACAGCCAGGATCTGCTTTTGTAACTTAAAATGTATCCAAAGGAAAGAAGCATTTAAAAGGAACAATGTTTGTGCAGACAGCAGAACCAGGGAAGGGCGGGGCTACCCTACACCCCCAAATCCTGCATGTGCAGCAACGGGGAGCCTATTTGCAGCGGGGGGTGGGGGGAGTCCTAAGCACCAGGCCCCCTGCTGGCATCCTGCAGGTACACCTCTGTAGCTGTCACCTCATCCAGCCTAGGAGCAGCAGAGTAAAAGCTACGAGCTCACCAAACCCTTGCCTTTTCCTGTAAGCACCCAGAAAGCCCACGTGCCCAACCCCCTTGCGACGGGGGCCACAGACGTGAGCAGGGGTGTCTGCACCACTTCCAGGCAGCGCCCATCAAAACCAGCCAAGCGGTCCTCCTCCCCTCCCCACTGGCGGGGGCGGGGGGGGGAGGGGGGCCCCTGGGGACAGCAGAGCCTGCAGTGCCAGGAGCCCTGAAAGCCCATGTGGAGCCGAACCACCAGACCCACGGCGCCTTCTGCACACCCACCTGACCAGGACGGGAGTGAGAAACTTTCATTGCATCTTCAGTCACTAAACAGTGAGAGTCATCCGGTACAGACACTAGTTCCCCTGACTCACATATATGGCACGGGTATATCCCGGTTGGCATTTTCTAGGTGAGGAAAGGAAGGTTCAGGAAGATTCAAGGACTTGCTCCAGCTTTTACAGTGGTTAAGGCCCGATGGGGGGGGCGTTTAGTCCTCACAACACCCCACAGTCGGTGGATACTGTGGGCTCTTTTTCCAGGGAGGAGAAACATGCTTGCCGGAATGAGTGGCCGAACCTGGTCTCTGGTGGCAGGGAAACGCCATCCTCAGCCGCGTGCTTCCCCCTGGTGGCTGACTTCGCCACCAGCGGCCTCTCTGGCTGCCCCAAACCTCCCTTCTCCTGGGGACCCACTGGGGCAGTGGGTGTGCCAGGGCCCACCCCCAGCAGTGCTTCTGGGGACCCTGCAGGGGCCTCTGTGTCTGTACCCTTCCCACAGCTCTCCGATTGCTATCCAGGGTACTGCCCTGTCTGAGGAGTCTGGAAGGACATGACAACTACCTCGAGCCTGCCCTGCACTGAGGCTGGCCTCCTTGCCTCAAATCATTCCAAGAACCTGAAGACGGCGGTGTTTTGCTGCCCATTTGCCAAGGGAGGAGCTGAGGCTCAGAGAGGTTAAGCAACCTGCCTGCAGTCGCCCAGCGCTCAACGGCAGCTGATTCGTGCCTCTGGCCCAGCCCTGAGCCCTCCACCCGACTGCTATGAGGGGCCGGTAGGCACAAACGCGGGAGAGGAAACAAGTCAAGGGTCCCGAGGTTAACTTCCCCTGACACCCCCCGCAAGCCCTGGAGCCAGGGGCGGGCACATGTGGGTGTATGGCCCTTCCCCGGGATGGCTGACCCCTGGGGTTCATCCTACCAGGGAGGTGACCAAGCTCCCGCTCAGCCAAGTCGGCCTTCCCACGTGCAGATCTTAGCTTGTCCACCTCCCGCCCACCAGGGTAAGGCCCTCACTGCCCCACCAGCTCACCCAGCGTGCCCGGGGAG